TCATCGACGAGGACGAGGCTATCACGTGAAGGTGAGTACCACAGCGACATCATTCGGTGTGTGAATGTTCGTGCGACTGTCAGCCCACTCGTGTTGGGAAGCAACACCCACATGCAAACACACAACGTAGAGGCGGCCACCATGGGAAACCATCTAACAACAGGGTGAGCTCGAGCTCCCGTTGTATTAGGTTGCATGTTTGGGTAGGTGTTCCCACGGAGAGCGGAAAACCATGGTAGGGGAACCATACCACGCCTTCCTCACTTCGGCCAACTACCTAGCTTCATCGAAATCGGGCCGGGCTCGAACTCGGTGAGTGGCGGCCGTACTCCGCTGGCTTATTGTGTCTTATTTCATAGGAGTCTCGTAAAGCCGTTCGCCCTATGACTGGTGATCCCATTTATCGAGATTGGTATTTCGGGATTGACATTGACTATGTCGTGAGTGGATGCTCTTCTGGAGAGAACTGTGCTGTTGTTGAACATCTCGACTGTGGGAGTGTCGAGAACACTTTGTATGTTGCCACTTGGTGGGGTGGTAGGAAGAATTCTAGGGTAAGAACCGGTGTGTGTCTGCGTGCTAGTGGATGACCTCAGATCCGCATAGACGATTCCATCATGGAGCATTGTGGAGGTCCATTGGGTGCATCGAGGGTGGTCGGCCAACGGGAGCTACCGGTATAGTGGAAGTGTATAGTTGTGATTGATGCTTGGCCTGGTCCTCAGCTCGATCCAGCAAGGCCTCTTTCGTGTGCGCCGGTCACAACACCTATCATCAACCGTGGTGCGAAGGGCCACGTAGTGGTTGCTTATTGTGGACCACAGTTCAAGGAGAGGCACGAGGTTCGCTGTGACGCCCCTATTTGGGCTCAGCACTTTGCTTACGGCTGGGGTGACTCTGATAATAGCGGAGTAAGCCGCAGCTCCTGGTGGTGTTATTGTATGGTCGTTGTCCTCTCGTTCAGTTGGACATATCAGCTGATCTCGTTAAGGCATGTCGAAAGGTCACAGTAGAGCATATAGATAACCTTCACACGCTGCTGTCGGCGTCGCTGAAGGGTGCCACGATAAGGCCTGGTAGCAGCAATGACGGGGACAACTTCAGGACTAAAAGGGAACTCAAGGTATCAACTGTGAGTATATTCCCACTCGTAATAATGTTTTTTCAGTTAACGTTCCACGTGTCACCATATCGATATGAGCCATCTATATTCCATTATCAATGTGAACGTGTGACTACTGCGGTGGAGATCCCTGAACAGCCCGGTGCCCCACGAGTGGCCTCCGTCAGAGCCCTCTGTGATTTCGATGACTCCCATAAGGCCTTTGTGAAGTTGGAATGCCCTGAGTCGGCAGCTATCACATTTGCTATCAAATGGGGAGGATTTTCCCAGCGTGCGGTAGGACTATAGCTAGTCACTGCTCAACACAGCACTTCCTCTAGGTTGGTCTTGGTCCTGAGATCATGTCTCATTCGACCAAAGTGGTCCGTGGGTCTGAGGATTTGGGACCGGCCATAGCTGCTACTATGGGGGAGGATAGAGGCAAATACTACTTACAGGTGAGAAGAGTGGTTACTGAGAATTCATAATGTGAATTCAGACTAAGAACGCTCCTGGCGTGTTCGTCTGCGATAAGGCGGAAGCCAAGATTGTACAGACTGAGGACCTGCAGTTCACTATAACCGTATCGTGTCCGTCGCATATCGTGGACTCGAGAGCCCAGGCGAACGCTGAGGCTAGGCTGACAGTTTACTTTGATGACCCCTACGCTGCTATCGGCTTCCTAGTTAGATGGGGAAGAGTTACCGATGCCAAGGTGGTCAGTTGTATAAGCGATTCATTTTGGCCCGTTCCACGCGAGTTGTGAATGGTGTGGTATCAGGTTGAGTCATACTACGCCACTAAGTTCACTTCACCCGCTCCACAGGTGACCGTCAAGAATTCCCTCCCAGAAATACACGTTGATGTAAGCGTGGAAATTATTGCCGCTTTGATTTCTTGTCTTTATTCAGAACCACATTTGCAGTTGTCCAGCCAAAGCCCCTATAGTGTATTCCCCTCGAGGGGAGGCTCGAGTGACCTTCTCGAGCAAGCCACTGATCACAGTCACTTACAAGGACCGTATGGTTGCTATGGCGGCTGCTATGATGGCCGGCCATAGGCTGTCGGAAGTACGTTGAAGGCAGGCCTATGTGGCTTATCGATTTGCTTAGATTGTATTGGACACTAACATCACTCACCATGTCACACACATTAGTGTTGATGATAATGTCTATATGGGGAAGGAGGAAGAGCATCCTCTCAAGCGTGTGGCGTTGCTCATTTCTGGCGAAAACAACAAAGTCGATGATCACATTATTGAGGTGAGCTGAGTCATTGAGGTTTGTTATTGATGTGGGCGTCTCAGATGCTGCGCCCTGACCTGGTAAGTGGTCCTCTGGAAGACTTCGGCCTGAGACGGTATCATTCTGTGGCCTACAACTGTGGTCGGCAGTCCGGGGTAGCTGTCGATGGGCTGACATACACAGTTAAATGTGAAGAGGGTGAACTCCCACAAGGTTCCCGTCACCATTACTCTGCTCATTTGACCAATACTTCTCGCAAGGCGGTGGACATTACTTTGAAGTTCGACGACGCTCAAGCTGTGACGGCTTTCGTATCGTTCTGGACGGACGATCAGAGGGATGCAGGCCCGAATGGGGAGGTGGATGCCGGTGTAGTGGCAGCGCCACCGATAAATGGGCGACGGGACACTGCTATCATTAATGCTGTTGAGAGACCCGATGAGTCGAGGCTCAGCACAGGTCTTCGTGAAGTAGGTTCTCCTGAGTCAACTCCCGTTAAGATGAATACTACTCACCCGGCTATTGTCGCTGATGAGAGTGAGACCGAATCGCCAACACTCGTTGAAGATAAGAAAGTTCGTCGTCATGTTGTGCGGCATAATATAAATAATGCCAACAAGTATAGAATGCGTGCATCTGTGTCTGAGTGAGATTAACATGTTATGTAGTCAACTGTTGTTATCAAATCCGTGTTGAGTTGTCAGGAGTTCGTCACCTTCAAGCTGTGGATCTTCTGGAACGCAGTGATCGAATTTCATGAAAAGAGCGGAAAGGTGACAATTGTGATTTGCTCTCACACTCACTTTCGCCAAGCGGATCGCGGCCTTGCTATAGTTGGATATAGTTTTTGCCAAATTGGTCAATAGGGCATGTTATACCGCAACACACGGTGAAATAATGTGAGTCGGGATTGCAATGCAATGATTGCATTGTTTGTTTGGACCGGAACTGTGCCACTCTACTTTTACCTTCTGCATAAGGAAGTTTAAAGGTTCATTGGTCCGACTCAGCGCCAAGAAATATTCAAAGAACAATACGACAATAATATTGTACGCGATGCACATGAACATAAAGCAATCAACGAAGCTAGTGCATACAGGATCAGGGATCAGTGAAGGAAAACTCATCCGATGCTGCTCACAGATCATTCACTAAATGCTTGGGGGTTGTGGAGGTCGTGTCTCAATTAGTATCAATGCTAGATCCAATAAAGCTCTGTGAGTATCAAGGTTATATCAGTTATCTCACTCTGAAGGAAGTATCTGAACTTCAGATTCTGAAGCAATACAAGTTCACAGCGTTCCCGTTATCAACGACCCTCCACCGTCGAATGCATCACGGCATGAATTCCACGTGATAATTATAGTGATCTTATATCTCTTACTTGGCTGACTCATAGTGATTGCTTATTTCAAAATTCCCGCTGCATGGGTTATCATTATGACAACTACACAGCAGCTCCTAAATTCGAACCAAGGATCCATAGCTTACGAGCCTAACACGCTATCCATTTTGCCAAGCCACTGATTATATCTTATCCAACTCATTTGGTTGCACTTGATCCCCGGAAACGTCTCGCCTTAGCAAGCCCACAGCATCCAATCAAATCAATGCTCACTAATTGAGCGAGTCCAAACTGCACCAATGCGATCAGAAAAAAACCATCGTTTCTTACTGACCAGGTTATTGACAAGTCGTGCCGCATGATTTTGTCGAAATCCGCCCGCTTAATTGCCCTTGGTCACCGAGATTCAGTGGATAATGTCTGAAGTTAAGACATTATCCACTGAATCTAAGTTAAGACTCTTAACTATATGTCACCTCTGCGGATCGAACCTCGAGTCTACAACGCATACGGCTGCAAACTTCGCAGCGAAGAGTATTCGACGGCCATGGGATTTTCTATCAGTATTATCCGTGACGCACATCCGAAAACTCGGGGACTGCTGTTACGGTAGTGAGTACGAAAAGCAAAATATAATGCTGCCATCCGGAGTTTGACTGCACAGAAGATGTTATTCCTATGAACACGGCGCTGATTTGAACATATGATGTGGCGAATGATGCCTCGGGGACACGCTCGTCCGAGCTAGACGGTACCCGGTCGGCGGAATAATCACCAGAAGCATGGTTAGTTTCTGAAGGTTTAGCGCGAGACATGCCGAATTTCTCGGAGAACGCCACGAAAGTTGTTCATATTCAGCAACCGAGCAGAGTTCGCCTCGACCATATTCGTGAATCATTGTCCCGGGACAGGTTCCCACATGCGTACGAGCGAATCTGAAAGAGTAGGGCAGCGCTGTTTGCAGGGATTCAATCCAACTCCGACTGCTCTACTCCCAGGTAAACATTATCTCGTATAGGACTACACCGGGTTTTACCCAGCACCGGTTCGGACAGGCGAGAAGTGGCTCACCTGGATCTCCCTCAGGGACGGTGACGGTGACGTGGCCGGCCATCCAACTCTGGTTTTGTATCAAGGTGCTCCCGTCTTGGATGACCGTCACCGTATTATGGTCTCCAACCTCAATTTCATATCGCTCCTTTACAGGCTACCATCACCATTGTTAGCATATGCTCGCTGGTTCACGTCGTCTTCTCAATACCTCAACACTAGCAAGTACTACGATCCCTGTAGCTAGGCCGACCATTCATCAAGCGATAGAGCCAGCATCGGTAGAAGTATGTAGCTCATAGATGGCAGCACCTGTACAGGGTCTTCCCCTCAGCTGGTCAGGGCTCCAAGGCTCTCCGTATTACCCCCGTTGGACACACTGGAATTCGGTAAGAAGTTCTCAGATCATATGCTGGAGATCGACTATAATATTGCCACTGGATGGGCGAGAGTAAGAGCTGAGATTCCACGGCGCCGCGGCTATGGTCATGACTTCAGCCACGTATAATGCCGATGAGCAATATCAAGCTGCATCCGGCATCCCCTGTACTTCACAATGCAGTGGGATGCTTTGAGGGAGTGAAAGTGTACAAAAATGTCCCATACCACATTTCCGTCACATCGTAGTGATCTGATTGCAGATACAGGGTACCTGAGGGCATCAGAGAGTTCCGCCTGTCCAGTAACATCGCTCGATTTGCCACTTCCATCAGACGTGGCGCGATGGCCGATCTCACCAAACGCGATGAGCAGTCCATGTAGTAGAGGAAATCAATGATATCAGTGGAATGAGCTGCTATTGGCAGATATGAGCTCATCAGGGAGCTTATTCTCATTGACGAGCACATGATACCATCAGAACCTGGTTATTCTCTCTACATTCGTCCAACGTGTATTGGAACTCAAGTAAGCGGTTGATATCCATCTTATCAGCAAGTCTTGGTAGGCTAGTCTTGGGGTATTTCCCCCTACAGCTGCCAAAATATTCGTCATCACCTGTCCTGTCGGCCCGTAGGGTTCCTCTGCTTTGGCCCAGGGACGATGTGTGAAGATAGATACTATAGATCAGGGTTCAAACCAGTGTCTTTGCTAGCATCGACGAAAACTGTCCGTGCGTGGCCAGGAAGTAGCAAGGACCATGGCTCAGTGTAGGCATCTATCATCTGTTATAGGCACTGGGGCTCAGAAGCTTGGTAGTAACTATGGTCCGACACTACTACCCTTGCGGGAAGCTGTGAGTGCTCGCCATCACGATGGAAAGAACATTGTCGATCAGATTGAGATGGGCTACTCGCAAATATTATGGTTGTTGCCGACTGATGTGACGGCAAAGGACTACTACGTAACGGAGGTTGGTAAGAATGGCCGGGCTCACTCTCGACTGCATGTCCATAAAAGGTACGATGAACCTGTTTCTGGTATTTCGTACGCCGGATGGTATAGAAGTGACAACACCATCCTTGAGTGATGTGATCCTGCCAGGAATAACCCGAGACTCAGTGAGAAGTGCATTAGCTGGGCATCGAACCTGTGACTTGACTGCCACGACTCTTGTTAATCAGCAATGTGCCTTGCCAGGCATTACAAGTTCTGACATCTAATAATGCGCCACCTGGTATAAAGGTTTCGGAAAGAGATGTCACTATGAATGAAGTCATCGAAGCTTTCGAGACTGGCAATCTCTTGGAAGTGTTCGGTAATAGACCCCATCATCTCACAGAGTGTGCTTCATATACTAGATTGCTGTTCCTATCCGAATCATCGCGATAAGTTTATCTACAGCTGAGAAATCTCCAAAATGTAGCTTGTGCATGTTGTGAAGGATGCCTCGATGATTCCATATCCTACATGCGCCGCCGCGTACTGGTGTGATAGGTACCGGTACAGCAGCTATTGTATGTCCGGTTGATCTGATCCACTACAAGGGAAAGGATATTCGTGTACCGCGTTACCGCCCCCCCCGATACCTATGTCACTGATTGTTGGTAGATACCGGTTGATGAGCGAGTCGGAGCTGGCCCTATCTGCAAATTCGTCCTGGACACTGTAAGTGTCGGCACACTGATCAGTAAAGCTGCATTATGACTATGGCGCAGATCCAACAAGCCCAGCGGGGTATCGGGGAATTCGGTGGGAGATGGTCGTCATTGTGGACACAGGATATGCGTATAACGCATCCCGGATATGATTTCCGTAACCCTGTTAATATCTAGTAGCACGGCACTGTATCAGATTAATCATCCTTCGAGGCTTTCTGGCAAATCAGAGACTGCAAGTTCTCTCGAGAGGGTCCAGAGGGCGGATAGCGTTTGGCCCTATCCTACGTGATTTTTAACGTCCTGTCCTATCATTATCATATGTCTAAGATTGGTCCAGTGCGAACGGTATTGCCGCAGCATCATCATGATCAGTTTTTCCCATTCTGGCAGTATTTCGCGAATTTTGTAACTTCAGTTCAGTTGACGATCTCTGGGGTGCTGCGTTGACATGTGGTCATCAACAGAAGTAGGCAAAAGGTGCGGGCAACAGAATAATCATGTTGTTGTGGCCCGGCCATCCACAGATGGTGACCGTTAGGTGATTCGGTACTGAATAACCGAAGATTCAATATAAAGTCTGCGTGAAGTTCACTGACCAGGATTTGAACCTTCGACTTCCGGACTAACCAAATGCTACCAGCATGATGTCAAGCCGGCAGCTGTCTGATGTGATGTTCGGCCGTGGGTCGGCACGACATGCTTGCACTGAGTCGTGACCGTTAGCTTTAATAAAGCTGCCTCATCTGTTTCATCGCGAACTGCTTGCTAGCCGCTCCAAGTCATGAAGAGCAGCTTTAGGGAAGACTTATTCTTGTTGGTCCCAAACGCGTTTTTGCTAGGAAGAGATTGCAATTGCAAGGCAGGACTCTCATACTGAAAACTCCTGGTGGTGTAGTTGAGGAATCCTGTAGGCTTGAGCTTCATACGAGACGTGGTAGATCACCCAGTGTGTTGCAGACCAGCCTCAAAACTAATGATAACATGTTCGGGCCTTGTAAGTCGTTTGTTGACGCACTCGTGGTGGCTAAGGAGTTTTCCCAAGCTCCTATCCCGACTGTGCCGCAAACGGCGAGAACATTGACATGTACGCGTTGCGAGTGCTGTGGCGTGAGATCCTTTGGGGCTGGCGATTTAGTCTAAGAAATGGGAAGGTGTGGCGCTTAGCCTCTGTCCGTTACCCGAGGTAACCAGTAGATCCAAGGGCTTCGATCCATTGAAAGTTTTGCCTCCTTTTGATCCTAACCCCTGCAGCTTCTAGTGGGTAGGGTTCAGCGAGCCCCACAGCATCCTTTCGAAGGCTACACATCTCACGATTCTTCATAACTAGACCTTCCCATTACTGGCTGGCAAATGTGCCAAGAAAAACTACAGCTCGCATACCTCAATGGATGCAGGTTGGTTGCATCATACGTACACCTGTGCTCACGGAAATGGGCTTTCATGATTAGAATACTTCATTGGGGCTTCACCAATTACCATGGTGGATAAAACGCCGTATTACACGTTTTACATGGCCACCACTAGTAACACGGTAAATATTATTAAAAAACATATGAAAATCTGTTCGCATCTCATACGACTACGGCATAGAAGTATACACAAAAACTCAATGCACTAATGACGCACATGAGGCCAGCAGGCATGAACTTGCGGGTTTTCACGTACCTAGAAGAGATAACTCCAAAGCTGCACACTGAGTTGCCCCACCTTGAATAGAAAAATACAGTGAGTATCAGCGCGATGGCAGCCAGACAGAATAGGCCTGTTAGATTATCATAGGAAGAGCCAAGTTCCGCTGCAGCAAACACCAGCACACCAGAGAGGGTACCGGCGATCAGAGATGGCTTGCTCTTGGCTTGGACGAAACCGATGGCCTAGCAGGAGAACAAACGAAGAGGTTTACTATTCAATTCCTGGGGGAAAGGACGATACAAGGCAAAGTCGAAAATTCCACGTAGTGATTCAGAACAATAACACATAGACTTAGTGACGAGT